AAACACAAAATGGTTTATTCATTATCTTTCACCAATTCAATTCAATTCTGGAAAATTCTAATTTAAAGCAATTTATTCAACCCTTTGTACAAAACCACCTTCATAAACAAAAGCAGAATAATATGCTAGATGAATAAAAATTACAGTGCATACAACAAAGTACGCAGAGAGGTTTTTTTTTTTTTTTTAAACTGAATTTAATTATTACATTTCTTATTCCCTCTCAGGGCAAAATATGTCATTTTGCACTCCAGTAACAGAAGTTTTACAAAGCAATTGTATCTTTAAAAGTATTATTCATGTTTTTGTGCTTTAATATGTTTTCTCCTATTCCCAACCCAAGAGGTAAAAACACTATTCACAGATCTCAAATAGGATCATTTATTAAATTCCTGACTCAAACTAGAACAGCTGTGGGGAATCCTTTTGTAAGGATTGATTAGGGCCCTCCTTTATTGATCATTAACACCTAACTAATCATTAAATCTTTGTGCATAAAATGTGAACTTCCTAAAACACATGCACAGAAATAAGATCTCCATCTTGCAAACACAGATCAATTTCTACTAGACATTTTAATACCAAAGCACATTAGCTAGGTTACAATTGTCTCTGACTGGCAAGCTGTTACGGTCTTTACTGATTGGCACTCGGAAAAGGTGTGAAATTCTCTCATCTTTGAAAACATAAAAGAAAAATCAAAGAAACTACTACTAGTCTGAGCTTCCCACCAAATTGTCCATTGTTTTGATCAATGTAAGCAAAAGGCAAACCCCATCAGCACCAAGAGGGAGTGGTTCTAGGATAATAATTCTGATTCATAGCAATTAATGATCACTATGAGGTACACTTACTACAACTGGCTTTCTTCCTCCCCCATGTACTGCATGATAGCAGATAAAACTTTTATAGATGGCCACTTGAATGCCACTACAATTCCAGTCTGCCAAGGCTACATCATTCAAAAGGGCTTCATGACTGTCAAACTGAAAAAGATGTCAGAGCAGAGAACATTATATGTCCCTAACAACGTTGCTCCATGAAATTTGATACTCAAAGGAAACTCAAGGGGTTCTTTAAATAATTACCTCGTCCTTCTTACTGTAGGAAATAATTTTGTGTTACGACTGATCAAGTAAGAGTTGCTGTTAAGGTTCATTGGCCTTAATTTAAATAAAAAGAAAAACGTTAGCATGACCTTGTCCGGAAAGCCACAAAGTAAAACAGTGAAATTTCCAATGAGATTTCATTTAATCCAGAGTACCACATGCCTGGCCATTGTCTATATTAGCCAACCTCAGACCCTGAATCCTCTACTGGAACAGCTCCACCAGGCCAGAAGCCTCTAGTTTCAGCAAGGCTCAGTTGGTTTTAACTACTGTGTTGTTTAACTCTCCGACAAAGCCTTACAAAGCTGCTATTAGTTCTAACCCAGCGCACCTGCACCCATGGAGAGCTGCTGGTGTAGACACATCTGTATAGTGAATGTGCTCTTTCAAGTTAAGTGATAGAATGGTGTTGATGCTCCAAATCAGTCACGGGCTACTTTCACAGCTAATTTATTTAGGATGAAATTCATTCCCATGCAGAAGGTCAGCACAAGAGCTAGGCACCATTTAAGTCCCACTTAAGACCTCAAAACAGGATTTAAGTCATGTGTAGGTTTTGTGCTGACTCTGCACAGTGATAAATTTCACCCACTGTTATCCAAAGACACTGTCAAGGTAAAAAGTCATGGGCCTGATTCTCCTCTGCCTTATGTCTCATGTAATGTTTTGCACCCACTTCACAAAGATGTAAACAACTGCACAAGATTCAAGGCACTGGAGAATCAGGTCCCACAAATTTCAAAATAAGATATCTTATTTCCTTTGTTACTAATAAACTTTGCATTACTAAAACAAAGAATTTTCCAATTATTTTTCAAGACGTAAACTGTTTGTTTACTTTTTGCTCTTCATAGTTAACAGCCAATTTCATTTTTGTTTATAGTCAGTTTCACCCATTGTTCTGCTTCTCATGCACTAATACAAAGAAAAGCCTGACCCTGCTCCCTCATTCACATTGAGTAGTATCTTTCTCTGCATATGGTCCCATTGAAATCAATGGGGAGTGGTACCATCAGTTTTTAAACAGATTAGAACCTAATGTAGGCTCTGTAAGAAAAGAAGCAAAATTAACACCAGGAGATACATTTACAAGAAAACAATTCCTTTCATCCACCTACGAGCGCTCAGTTGCATTTTGTGCCTTGTAAGGGCTCAGATTTTGGTCTGTTAATAGCCACCACTACCATGCTTTGCTTAATGCTTACATTCAAACTACAGATTCAGGTTTATGACAAGAGCAAATGAGCTCAAAACAGGTTGAAATATTAAGTGGTTTTAAAAGGTACCTACTTAAAATCTTTGTTAAAACTCTTAAGTTATGGTTCATATTACGGATCTGTGAAAGAGAGATAAAAATAAAAGCACTTCACCCTGGAATTGTTGATTTAAAATGAAAAATTAAGTACTTAACATCACTAATGTTGTTGATACTCTAATATTACAAATCCTACTATTTTAGTGACTTCTCTCTGAAAAAGCAACATAGTATATTATCTCTTTTCAAGTTTAAGGCTTTTCCAGAAGACTTCAAACATATTTATTTAAAACTTTTGATTAATTCTAAATTTTATTTAGAATGTTCTTGATAAACCTCACATAACTTTACAGAGTTTGCCTTCCTTTTACAAACTTCATTAACAGCAGGGACATGATGTCCTGTAATAAAGTCAAACACAGGAGGAGAAACATGTTTAATTTGGTAATGGCTTTAAACTCTGAAATATCCTCATAACCCAAATACTAAATCAAATAATTTCACAGCTAGGTCTGTGCCAACCTATATATCAGTTTTATTTTATTACCAGAATCTAGCAACATGGCAAAGATCGTATTGCTATTAAATCTGTTGTACCTTGCACCTGGATACATAAGAGATCAAATTAATTATATATTTACTATGGAAAATGCTTTAGTTAAAAAAAAAAAAATCCTCTGATTAGATGCCCACTCAAATCAGGACAGCAGCAGTTCAGAATGATGTGCTTTGTACAGTGGTATATTTTAATCTAGAAACTAAAGGATTAGTTATGAATCCATTGCGTATGGATTAATTAGAACACTGTGCATCTGCCATTTTTCTATTGGCTAGAAATGTCTGGAAAATGATAACACATTGTTTCAACTAACCTTATATCCGGTGCCTCTGTTTAATTAGTCTGGAGACAAAGCTATACAGAGAACCATTTTAAGCTGCTGCAGCTGGCTCTCTGGAATTTGGTTTGATAGCTGCCCTTCTCTCTCCCTGTTTGATATCTTTTTCACGTGTTTAATACAAATGGGAGTATTTTGCTAGGGAATTCCAAGTGGGTGCTTTCTAATTCTTCAAAATACAAAAGCCTGAGCACAGCTTTCCAACACAGTTTGAATGCAAATTTTCTGGGGTATCTGAAAGGTTAAACACTATCAGGGTCAATTTTGCTGCATAAATGAATTTGAAGTCATCTGTCACATGTAATAAAAAAATGTTTCTAAAACATTTGCACTTCATAAAAGAAACATGATGAACTCATAGCATGGTTGCTTAGTTGTAGCCCTGTGCTGTACTCTGTAGTTCAGGAATCTTAGATATTTTGCTGACTTGACAGTGAAATTCTGGCTCATTGCAGAAATTATATGACTGCGTTTTTGTATGAATCTCTCCTTCTAGTTGACATTTGATGTGGTTTCACCAGAGCTGTCTTTTAGCACCCTTTAACGGAGTGGCACCCACCTCTTGCAAGTGCCCCCTGGCCATGTGCATGTGCCTGTACTCTTTCAGTTTATGATGACCCTGTCAGCGGTTTCAATGACTCAGCCCTCCAGCTGAGTCCCACACAATCTGTAGGTAATACAAACAAAACGAACCCCTTCCCAGACAATCCAACAGAGACCTATCGCAAGGCCTCTCAGTCTTTATACAGTCCCAGGCCTGGTATTGAGCTGTACCCCCAGGCCTTCTTCTCTGGAGGCAATGGTTTTGCCCACTCTGAGACTTTCTGGCCCCAGCTCTCCAGCTGGGCCACTAACAGTTTAGGACCCCTTCCAGTGGTGTGTCAAATATTCAGGCCACTTCCCCAGTGGCTAATGGCCGCTTCCCGCGCAGTCTCTCTAGGCCGCTTGGATTGCTTCTCTACTGCCCTTTTTCTGTGACAGGTGTGATAAGTAAGGCTACGATTTAGTCATGGGTATTTTTAGTAAAAAAAAAAAGTCATGGACAGGTCATGGGCAATAAACAAAAATTGATGGCCCGTAACTGAGCCATGACTTTTACTAAAAATAGCCCTGACTAAATCTTGGGGGGGGGGGTACTGCTCTGGGGGGAACTGGGAAGCTGCTGCTGGGGGTGGGAACCAGAGGGCCAGCAGCACCAGCTGCTGGGGGCCGCCCCCAGGACCGCTGCTCAGGCAGCCGCACCGGCCGCTGCAAAGGCGATCCCCGGGGCCAGCCACACCGGCAGCTGTAGAAGTCATGGAGGTTGCAGAAAGTCACAGAATTCATGACTTCCGCGACCTCCATGACAGACACGAAGCCCTAGTGATAGGACCCAGAGGCCTCCAGCAGGGAGCCTCTGAGCCTGGTATACCATGTCACACACCCTCACTCCCTGTAGCTATGTGTAGGAGGACCCTCAGTAGTTGGAGTGAATTCACCTGTTTCTGCTCAGCAGTGCAATATTGCAGGAAGATGCAACTATATTTGGTGGATATGAGCTGATCAGATTTAATGTCTCCAAGTGTGGGGAAAAGATACAACCACACAAAACCCCATGAATAATAAACCTAGAATAATCCAGGATTTACTTTCAAAAAGCCAAATGCTTCAAATTATTTTGTTCTTAGCATTTATGATTACTTTTTCTGGTATATCTTTGCTCAAGTTTAAATAAAATATTTGGAAAGTGCCAGCACTTACCCAGATCTGCAGTTTCACCCGCTTGTCATTCCTGTAAACAGTTTTCACTTTGAAGTCAATTCCGACTGTGCTAACAAAAGCTGGTGTGAAAGTGTCATCAACGTATCTGAAGAGGAAGGACGTTTTGCCCACACTGCTGTTGCCAATGATCAGGAGTTTGAACATGTAATCGAAATTTTGGTCTGAAGCATCATTGTGTCTGTATCTGGCATCTGTTACTGAAGCCATCTAAGAAAATGATAATGACACAGAGCAAATTTAAGAGTAGTTTAGTGTTAACTGTCCTCAACTCAGCATCTCATACTTAACATGTATCCCTTCTTTCTTAAGCATTTGTATTTTCCCCCACTTAAATAACTTTGAAATCATCTATGTGGAGCCTAATTTTTAGCTCCCATCATGTACCAGTGCATGTAGAGACCGCTCTAGCCCACTGCTGGGGGCCTTAATCAGGAATATTTGGGGGGGGGCTTCCCCACACACAACACATACTAAAAAAGCAAACAGGGGGCCCCAAGCAATTGCTTAATCTTCCTATGCATAGCACCAACACTGAGAGCATGTGTAATCAGGGCCGGCTCCAGGCACCAGGCACCCAAGCTGGTGCTTGGGGCGGCACCTGGAGGGGGGCGGCGGCGCGGCACTCCGGCCGCTGGGGAGAGCGGGGCCACAGCAGGGCTCGCCGCCCTCCCCCCAGCGCTCTGGCCGCCCTCCCCCCGGCCGCCGGGGGGGAGAGCGGGGAGCCCCTGCCGGGGGGGAGGGGGGGCGGCCGAAAAAGCCAGAGCCGGCCCTGTGTGTAATTTTCAAGCCCAGGCCATAAATGTGATGCACAGATCTGGATTCATCAAACGGATAAATTGGTGATTTTAGGTTTTTCAACTATTAACAGAGAAACAGCATTCTTACTCAAAATTACAGAGTACTTCAATAAGCTGCTGAGAACTGAAATCTCCATTACAATGCACCAGCTTGGCAGCTGGGACAATTCATTTAGGCAGCCACGGTGGGTAGGTAAACAGAAATAGTTTCATTAACGACTACTAGAGAAAACTAGAATTTCCTAAATACCAAACTGTGCTAGCTGTGCTGGTTGTCTATCACTAGAGAGGATCTTTTAAAGTTTCCTACAAATATTGGGGGGGGGGGAGGTGTCTCACTAAGTCCATCCATTATTTATCCGCGTTCAAAATAGTAATTAATATAAATGGCATCTGGAACTGTCCGTGGCATTTATTTATTTATTTTATTTTTTGTTTATTGTGACAGATTATACTACCCCTTTGGGTAGAGCTCAGGGGCGGCTCTATGTTTTGTGTTGCCCCAAGCACGGCAGTCAGGCGACTTTCGGCGGTGCGCCTGCGGGAGGTTCGCTGGTCACGCGGATTCGGTGGCATGCCTGCGGGAGGTCCGCCGGTGCCGCGCCATCGGCGTCCCTGCCACCGAATTGCCACCGAAGCCACGGGACCGGCGGGCCTCCCGCAGGGATGCCGCCGAAAGCCGCCTGCCTGCCGCTCTCACAGCGACCGGCAGGCCACCCCCCCGCGGCTTGCCGCCCCAGGCACGCGCTTGCTGCGCTGGAGCCGCCCCTGGTAGAGGTAGAGGGATACTGGCCCTGGGGCCAACTGAGAAGCGTTACTTAAAACCCCCTCCTTCTCCTGTGCTCCTTGGTAGGATTTAGTGACCATGCAGAAAAAGGTTAAATTATCTGAAAAGTCAAGGTAGCTGGAACTCATCAGGCAACCATAGCTCACTGCTTTAACTTACAAGGCAGGAAAAGAGACACAAGGTGGGAAAGGTGATACCTTCTATTAGACCAGCTTCTGCTGGTGAGAGCGAGCTCTCGAGCTTACACAGAGCTCTTCTTCAGGTCTCCTAGGACTAACACAGCTACATCACCACTGCATAAGGCAGGAAAAAACAAGCAGGGGCTGCTCTGACCAGAGCAGGAGACTGTGGAAGCTCAGTCAGAAAAGAGGTTTCTGTTTATCTTTTCATCGCTGTTCATGGGCGTAGACAACTGGGGATGTGGGCCAGGCTTTAGCCTCTCCAAAAATTTAAGGACTGCATCAATAAAGGAAACATTGACTTTGGAACAGAAGTTTGTCTGCTTTTGATAAAGTGAGCTAAACAAATGTAGTCATGTATCAGAGGGGTAGCCGTGTTAGTCTGGATCTGTAAAAGCAGCAAAGAGTCCTGTGGCACCTTATAGACTAACAGACGTATTGGAGCCTGAGCTTTCGTGGGTGAATACCCACTTCTTGGGATGCATGTCTATAAGGTGCCACAGGACTCTTTGCTGCTTTTACAAATGTAGTCATGGTGCAAAACTACTCATTAAAGCAATGTTCAACAGTTATTACAGCCACCACCTCCCGAATAAAAAAAAAGTTGTCTACGTCCCTGCTGTTTGTATCCTGGTAGGGGAACATTTTCATTTATGGACGGTGTTTGTCACTGAGAGGAGAGGCCAGAGGGCCTGGAGTAGTTTGCCCGGTGACAGATACATGGAGTATTTCATTTCTAGACCACTGGTTCAAGTCTAGCCTGGGGCAACAGTGACTGGCAGTCGATGACTGTTCAGTGGTTTATGTGAAATGAGACAGGCTGAGTGCAGTTCTGAGTGGAGGCAGCCGTCTTCTAACAGCCCTCTTCTTGTTGGCAGGATCAGAGGTCAAGGTCTGAATGGGCCTAAAGACAGAACTCCCCACTCATCCCAGAAAGTTATTCTATCCCATTCCTGAGCACATAGTCGAGAGCCCAAATGGTCTTTGGGAGTGAGCCCTCCGGGAGGGGGTGTTCTGTTTTTTTAACCTGTCACAGGGTATCCAATGCTGCCTTCCCCTTCTATTACTCTGTTTATCCACTGCTAAAGGGAGCCTGCTGCCAAGTAAAGGAAGCAGTGACAGGAGCTAGGTGTACTGCACTAAACTTTCCGTACCCTCAAGACTCACAACTCCCCTAAAACCCATTATACCCTGGTGCCTCGCAGAGGGAGGGAAGGAGAGAGCCAAGACTGGTACAGGGAGCTTAGGGCCAGAAGGGGCCATTAGATATCTGTTCTGACCTTCTGTCTATTACATTTAATCCAGTTACCCCTGTAACCCTGATTCCTTAAGTCCCTTTGAGTCCAGTGGTTGGACTAGAGTCATGGCCTCTCTTTCAAACATCCGACATTTCAAGAGAAAAGTCACTCACTTTAGTCCCACAGTTCCCTACTTTCTATTCACCTTTGGTGTCCCCTTACATTTATTGTGGAAAGTTATTGACACCACAACTAAAGAATCATTGCACTGAAGTGATAGAAAGGACTGTTTACTCTCATGTAGTGAATCCCATGGCATCTTACCTTCCTGCTTGAAGAAGGTTATGTTCCCACTCTTTTGGAACTTTGTCACACACTGCTACCCACATTTGGGCCCAGGTAGGTTGAGCGCTATGGAGCAGAGGAATCCTATCCAGTACTTGATCTAAGGCCTCATCTACATACAGAATTGCACCAGTTTTACTAAAATCCACTTAAAACCAATTTCATTAAACTGGTACACAAACCCATCCATTTAAACCAGGATTTTATCAATTTCTTATGGAATTAGGAAAACCAAAATAAGCCTAGTTTAAACCAAAGTAAGTGTCCATGCAAGGGTTTGCATCAGTTTAACTAAAGATATGATTTTAAACTAATGCCACCTGGACTACAAGGCCTACCTGTTTTACAGACTATCCAATGTGTACAGTTTATTCAAGAGCACCTAAAGCAACACTTAAACACTCAGTAACATCGCTGCCTGCAGCAAAAACTTCTGCACAATTACCCTAGGTGAGGCTGAGATTCTGTCCATTATATATATTTTTATTTTAATATTAAATGAGGCTAAGATCCTTTGCAAACTCACCAACAAGATACAGTATGAATTTTCTTCTCACCAGCATAACAGGAAAATATTCTTTTATTCATGACTTTTGGATCCGAGTAGGAATTTTAAAGCAAAGCTTCAAACTAGCTGCTCACTCACACACATACACATGCATAGCCCCAATTTCTGATACTGTATTGGAGATCTGGTCATTTATTATACAGCTAAGAAGACCCACCAATTTCTCTGTCTTAATCAATGTGTACTATCCCCATAATGGAAGAAAATCAGAGGCTTCACATTTAAAAGTACCTACTCTTCTTGATACACGTATCAGCACCAGTGCTAATGGGAACATGTGCTGATGGGAAGGAGATCATTTTCTTCATTTCATATTCCCCCAGAGAGAGACAAGGTGGGTGAGGTAATATATTTTATTTATTCACCCGTATGCACCAGATTCATCACCATCATCACTTAAAGCCTGGTCATTTCTAGAATTACAGTTAGACTTCAATAGACAAGTGACCCACTGATTAAATCTGAATCAGTCTTTTCTGTATATCACCACCTTTGTGGAATCCATTCACCAAATCCAACATGGTTTTTAATATGAAGTACTGCTGCTATCCCTGGACCCACAGATTGCTATAATCAAGAGGGCAAACGGCTGCAAATGCTTCTTTCAAATCTCTGTTAAAAAAGCAATTACAGAATGTGACTGGCCAGTATAGCTTTCAATTGAAGCAGTTTAAAAAATAAAAAGTGAGTGATTCTTGGAAAGAACATTCTGCTGTTTTCACAGAAGAGCAACTCTAGATGGGTCGTACAGAGATTTTGAAGCACTCAAGATCTGTGAGCTGAACCACAGCAATCACAAGAGGAGTTAAAAGTCACAGCAGTGTCAGGAGGTCACAAAGTTTCAAAAACTCTTTCAAGTTCCATTTTCTTGCTTGAACTTTTCCCCCCCGTGACAGTTTGGAAATCTCTCTTTGTACAACTTACACATTCTGTTTGGTATTACGGACTCTCTATATGTATGGGGGCGGGGTCATTAAACCTGGATGGTTTTCTCTTCAAATAGAGGCACCCTATGTCAATGAGCTAGCTAGCACTCAGAAAAAAGGGGACTTGCAGATGTGGGGGTGATTGAAGACTCCCCACTCTTTTCAGATCACTGTAAACACTGACTGAAAGGGTCAAAGAGACGGTACTCCATGGTCCAGAGAAGAAGCCAAGCGCTACAGAGGGTATGTGGACACGGGAGAGAATCCTACCACCTCAGAGCAGTGTTTCTCAACCTTTTTGATACTCGTGACCAGCTTGCTGTCTTCCTAAACTGTGTCAGGGAGATCTCAGTGCCTGTCCATGGGC